ACAAATTAAGCCATGTCCCGCAAAAGAAGAAACGGCGGCACGAGAGGACTTTATTAGTTGAACTTGCCAGGATGTTAAGTGGGCGGGGCAGTGGGCAGGGGGCGGACTATGAGTTGCGTCCCGTGAGAGTTGAGAGGTCGAAACTCGACTTGTAAATAAATAAAAGCTGAGCCGCCATAAAACCCGATTCCGATATCATATTCCAATCAGTCCGGCACATTAAGGTAAGTGGCGAGGGGCCAGGGGGATGGACTGGCTATTCGGAGGAGGAAAGTCCTTTTGCACTAAGAAAAATAATTTAGTAATATAAATATAACGGGCAAAAAAAATCTAAGGTTTTTTAAACTATTTTTCATTACTTTGGTTTGTTGTTAAATATTTCAAACATTGTAAACGTAAAATATAAAGATAAATTTGTGTGTGTTGAAAAATGTATTAATTTAAAATCTTTAAATACCAATCTAAAACTTGCTCAATAAATTATAATTATTCATTTAATAATGAATTAATTTCATAATGAATTTAATTTAATAATTTTTGCTAAACAATATTTTTGTCTTAGGGGTTTTAAAAGATGAATTAAAAGATATGTTAATGAGATGTGTATTTTTACACCACATTGAACGATTCTTCAAGGTAAAATTACTGTAAGTTCTTTAAAAAATAATAATCAATTTGTTTCTTATGTATAAACAACTATAATGTGCTCTCTTACAAGCCTTTTTCTTCGAGTGTGTATGACTTTTTGTGTTTCTTTTGGGCGAATCAATATTCGCTGACCGGCAAAAAATTTTGGCAAATATTACAACAATATTTCGGGCTTCGGTCCGTATGGGAATATCCTCTTGGGGGAGGCGAAATGTTCGATTTTTGATCAGCCCGGACGGGGGTGGCGGAGTGGGCGATTTTATGACATTGCCTGACAAGTTTATGCCACCAAAGTTGCATATGCAACCACCCAGCTGGGTCGTAAAGCCAACTGGCAAGGCCAGAGAGCCCGAAAGGGCGGCATTCACTTAATGGCAATAATAAAGTGGCACAGGCATTCAACACTTTGTCAGTGGCTTTCGCGCTGTCTGGCCGCATTTATCATGCCACTCGAGCTCCAGACTATTTTGACAAGTTATCAAAATGAAATGCAGCCAACAAGTTGCCTGTGCTAGAAGGCAGAAAACAGAAAGCAGACAGACAGTCTCCCCTTTTTGGCCCTGTCATAATCCTCTCGGGGCGGGGAAGGCGGAAAGAAAGAGCTCTCGACAGACGACAAGTGTATTTATGTTATGATTTGAATACCGCTAATGACAGCCAGACTCGGCAGCATCTTTCGGGTGGCACCGCATAGATATAGACGGATGGATGGAGGGGGATACCATCCCCATCTCGGTTTCACTACCGGAATCCACATTTTCAGCGCCCCCATCAATCCGACTGCCTTGTAGGTATTTTCACACCTTAACGCTTCGAAATTAGAATCGATCTGGGAATGCCTTTCGCCGTGAGCTGCAATTGAACATCATCATTATGACGCCCATAATGTTTCTTATAAAGATACCATTCCTCCTCTTCTTCGTTCTGTGCGTGTGGCATCGTTTCCTTCAAATGCAAATGATGCCACCGCTTTATCTGGAACTGGAACTCGAACTCCATTGGCGGGGTGAGTGGACTGAGTTACGATTACGATGCCGCGATAATATCAAGCTTTATAAATTTATTAGGGATAGCTATGTATGTGCTACGGGGCAGAGAACCAGATATATTTAGCCAGATGGATAAATAGATGCACATGGAGGCCTTGATAGCGGATAGAGAGGGAAATTATTTACGGATCTGAATGATAGCTGTGTGATAATGAAGAAAACTTAAAAAAAAAAACTGTAAGTAGTATAAGTGCATACAAAACTCCTCTGTGGAACATCCCACAATCAGTGACTCCATCTTGAAGAGAACTCAACCAGTCACCGATCTTCAATTCAAAAAGACAACAACAGAAACTTCTAAAACAATGACAACGGCAAACGGAGAGATCGGAAGGCACAAGGGCAACTTGCAACATCGACAACTTCAGCAGCAACATTGGCAAAAGCCGCCGAATGCCTGGCAAGGACAACATGAATAATCCATTTTTCGAAACACTTGTCCAGAGAGCAGCAGCCTCGTTCTCCTCGTCTGCTACGATCATAGATATAGGGACGGGTTCTGTCCCTCCATCTCCATCCCATCGTAGGTGTTGTCTAGATCTTGGCCACGCATGTGAGCGGCAGCAGGAGCCAAGGCAAGTCAAGGAGTCAAGGCTGGCAGCGACACCAGCGCCGAGATTAAAGATTCCTCCATAAACAAACAAGCGAAATAATTGAGGCAAAATTGAAGCAAACTACTCGAGGGAGGAGAATCGAGGCTGCAATGCCGGCGAAGGCTGAGACATGGAAACCAGTTCGGATTCGCGGTGCAACAATTAGCACGGAATTTGTGGGTGCCATAAAACGCGCTACACGATGGCCGCTTGTTCTCTGGAGACGCGAAACCATTCCCATTTCCATTTTCATATCAATAAAACTGCAGTGTCGATTGCCGTGGCTTTTCCGTAGACTAACGGTGCTTCCATCGCCCAACTACTACTATCCACTTTCCTCTCGAGGCGCCCAATTAGGCACACTTATATTTAAAGATTTTAAAAGGAATTAGAACTCAAACAAAATCAAACTATTATAAAATATTTATGAGTAACTAAAGATAACAGGTTGTTTTAAAACTCTGTAAAAAGAATTAAAAAATATAGGAAATTAGGGAATGGAAATGCCGTTATCAAGTCAAAATTAATACCAGAAAATATCAAAATGATCATCGTTTCATATCAAGCTTTTTTTGGGTGTATATATTCTTGAATACTATTTGTGAATATTAAAAATATATTTTAGTTATATATTTATCTTAAATAATTTATTATTTTGTGGTGCTAACGAATAAATAATCAGTAATTTGCTAATCGAAGACTTGGATAAAGCCAATTGGTATTTTTTACTCTGTGATATCGATGTGGGAGCCACGGACACTCAGGACTCGTTTAACTGGCGCCCAATTAGACACACTTCAAAGTTCTCTACGGTATGCCAGCCTCGCTCTCTCGGTGGCCATCAAACGAAAAATCATAATTCCCCGGGAAATATGTAGGGATGTATATATTCCTCCCTCGGAGTTTGGGGCTGGGTTATTATTCATAGACCGTTTTCGGACGACGCGTTTCATGCAGACAGAGTTAATTACGCGCACAGATCAAACAGATTGCACGCAAAATAAATATAATGCAGCCCGAAGATATGAAGAACCCGGGAGCAGATCTAGAAATGAGGTTATTAAGATGCCCGACGGCTGCCAACCGGCGGGGCGAATTATGATCATGAAAATTATGTCTGCGCATCAGCGTGATCTTGAAATTTAGCCAGGGATCCCGGGTCGGCCAGACATGGCACAATTTCTCATCGCTCATTTCGGTGCAGGAGGCCGGATTCGTTAGCCACCACCACCTTCTGTTTCTCGGCCCGGAGTTAATGGCTCCAGCCGTGGGGCTGTTAATAGCCCCAGATCTTCGCCATCCCCAACCCCTCTCACTATATCCATTCGAGACACACTTTACGGCCGCATATGAAATATGTGCGCCCATGAAATGAGCTAAATTTCTCGGGAAAAGTGCAACATTGTGGAAAATGGAATTGCCAACAAAGCAGCATTCGTGCTGCAATGCCAAAACAGAGGGTTGCAATGCTCGGAGGTGTTTATGTGCAAGTTGATGGCTGGAATTCACAGAGACTGCCTGATGGCAATGGCTAATAGAAATGGCCCCTCTCGGAAAACTTTAATCCAAAGGAGCCTTTTGCTGCGTCAAATTTATTAATTATCCTCAATTAATAACATAAATGAGTCGTATTTAAACTCAAATAAATCAAATAAATAATAAATAAACAAGTTTTTATTCGGTCTTTTCTAATGGTATTTAAATGTAACTAAGAATTTAGAAAGTTTCTAAAATAATCCAAAAAAAAATTCTTAGGTATGAGTAGATAAATACACCCAAATAAAATTTGAAATGAAACGATGATCGATTTGATTTCATGTGGTATGAATTTACGTCATGTTCCTTTTTGCTCTCTTTTCCAATTCAGAGAATCTTCAAAAGCTTATAAATACCAGAAATGTACCATGCGCATATCGATTAGATCCCGGTTGGTTTTTTTCTGTTTGTAGGTACTTAATGTTATAGGTTCCTTTCAATGTAGTTTCGTTGACTTTGTATTAGATTCTATATTATATTTTAAATTGTAAAATCGTAAAAATAGGAAATATTTTACTACGGAAGCAAAAATGCCTCATTTTACAATAAATCACTCTGATATTTTAATCTTCCCCCAATTGATGTGCACCCCTTAGTCAATTATTTCATGGGGTATTTATTTCTCACCCTGCGCCCCACATGTGCCCCACTTATGAGAGATCCCGCTTCGAGTGCATCGGGTCGTGTCTATTGTTTTGGCAGACAACGCCTGTCATATTTGGCGAACATTTATAATTCGCGGCGACATCAAGTTGTTGCGGTCTAGAAATTATTATTTGTTGCATTGTCGTCGCGGGAAGAGGCGCTGCTGCCAAAATGACAAGGGAATAATTAAAAGTTTTGCGACTACGCGATCTGCGAGAGACACAAAGAGCGCTTCGACCAAAATTTGTCTGGGCAAATGAATCAAAAAGAAAACATCTGTTGGGAGTGGAAAATGCGCCGAGGCGAGGGCGTCTCGCCCATCCCGAAGGCAATGGGGATGGGATGATGAATGGGCTGCGCGTGGCATGTGGCACTATCGAAGGAGGCGCACTTACCGAAGCTGCCAATTTGCATGAATTTATTGAATCCATCGTAACTGCAATCCTCGATCCCCGATTCCAAGCGGAATGCTTCCCACTTCCCGGAAAAGAAACGTCACAACATTTTGTTTTTGTTCTTTGCAATTTCGCTCGCCGGCTTTATTTTTGATCATTTTTGTCGCGGTTTTTTTTCGGTTTTTCGATTTCAATTTTTTATATGCAACTACCACAGTTTACATTACGTGTATTTATCGGTATATGTGTTTAAGTATATCTAGGTATAGCCATAAAATTAGTTAAGTTCTGACCTCGCAGCCTGCCTGATCCGGTTGAAGGGACTCCTTCCTCGATCCGCTATTTTTACAACTTACCGGCTAAACTTAATGCATTTAAATGCCTTGAAGATCGCTATCATTTAACCGTACTATATATATAATATGTATAGACACAAAGGATATATTCGTATATGTGTGTTTTTTGGGGAGGGGGGTGTGTTTGAGTTTGAGTTTGTGTCAGTGCTAGTTGAAGCTTAGCGTAGGGTAATGCTCAAGATATGTACTCCACAAAAACCATGTGTGTTCCAAGACTAAGATCTCATTATCATCAGTTACTTCTCCGCATCTCTGGACTCCGACTCCTCGTTGTCCCCACCTCCGGTGGCCTCCGCCTCTGCCTCCAGCTGATCCTCCTGCTCGCTGAAGCCGCCGCCGGCCTCGTTTTGATTGTTCTCCACCTTGATGCGACTCAGTGGATGCCATATATTGCCGGAACCCTCGTCCTCCCGCAACGAGGGACTCTGAGGAGGCTCCGGTGTGGGGGACTTGCTGCTGCTCCGTCGCTCTAACCCATAAGGATGCTGGGCCAGAAAGCCCGGGAATCCCAGGAGTCCAGGCGGATAGGGATACTTGCCGCCGTTGGCGAAGGGCGGCGGGGGAATATTGGGAAAGGCGCCGGGACTCAGTTCACCAGGCTGGCAAATATTCAGAAACATAAGAGAAAATAGAGGTCACCAGTTAGAAAGGTTACCAAAGAAAAAATATAACTGTATCATAAGAATAAAAAAAATATTTGAAATGTAATCAACTTAGTATGGAGTTAATATGTAAATAAATGTATAAATAAAATAAATAAATAAATGTAATAAAAATAAATAAATGTAAAAAAATAAATAAATGTAAAAAAATAAATAAATGTAAAAAAAAAAATAAATAAATAAATGTAAAAAAAAATAAATATATAAATGAAAAAAATAAATAAATTAATCATTAATAAATAAATAAAAAAATAAATCCTTTTTAAATTTAACAAAAAAGCTTAAAGATTTTTTCTAATTTCCTCACCTTTGGTGGCAGTCCGTTAAAAAAAGGCGGCAGGTAGGGAAAAAAGAGCTCCGGTCTTCGCTGCATGAACTCCTGTTCGGCAGTCGGTCCCGGATGACCTTGACCCGAGTTCGGACCAGGACGCATTGGTAGCTCCAAGGACATTCGACGACCTCGCCGCGAAGTCGGATTCGTCCACATGTGAGTGCCCATGTGCACCTGAAAGCGGGATGGATCCGAAGAAGACTCTGTGGTGAGTAACTTGCTATAAGGATAATATAGAGATTAGTGGTACCTTGAGATTCCCCTTGGTGGTGAAGGCCTTCTGGCACACATTGCACTGGAAGGGCTTGTCGCCCGTGTGGGTGCGCATGTGGATCTGGAGGGCGGAACTCGAGCTGAAGTTCCGGCGGCAGACGTGGCAAAAGTGCTTGTTGTTCACCGGAGGATCCAGACTGGAGGTCGGGGGACCGGCGGACATCAGAGCCTGCTGAAAGTCAAGGGGACTGGCAGGGAAACGATGGGCATCTGATGGGAAGATACACTTAGGCTTCTGGAAAGAACTTCAGGTGGCACTGAGTGACTTACGGAGCTGCATCTTCATCAGCGACTGCTCGGCATCGCCGGCATCCTGGGGATAGTTCGACCCAACTCCATTGCCAGATCCTTCGCCAGCCGAGGCAGCCTCCTCCACCATCTGCTGCTCCTGATCGGGATCCTCTTTGATCGGCGGCGCTGGGGGATTTTCGGGGGCAAAGGGCAGGGCGTTTGCCTCCGGCAACTTGTCACCCGATGAGGACGACGAGGAAGGCGGCTTCTTTGCAAACAGATTTGGATTGAGAGTGAGCTGAAATGCGATGAGATACAAAGTTACAGGGCGAGATACTTTCGCGACGGGCGCTAATTTCTGCGCATTTTCAGTTAAATGTGCCGTTAATCCCGCCGCATCAGACTCGCGCCTCTTAATAATCTTATTTTTGCCGAAAGAGAAGGAGAGAGGGCCAAAAACATAATTTACAATTTTCCTAGGCCGCATGTATCGCGTGTAATAATGCCAACTAATTATCTCGCGCAGACGATGCCGCCGGGTCTCATATTTTTATGGCAAAACAATTGTTCGCCGAGAGGAGGGATTGGTGATGGGGGGATAGAGCCGAAAACTACTTGGTGGATGGTGTCCCCGGCAGACGCGACGAACAAAAGATTAAATAATTTTGCATAAAGCGTAGCATAATTTATTTGCATTGAATGCATCGCACACACCGTCACCGACCCGGCGCAGGCTCCCCTATATCTCTAAAGTCCCCCGATATATATACCCGATCCAGAGCGAAAACATACCAGACGGAGTCGTAAATTTCGCATCATCATAATGCATTCTCGTAATTACTTAAGATTTTTGAATCATTTAGAAATTTCAAGCCCAAAAGATGATGCCGATTCCCAGCCCCACCTACCACCTACCATCTCTCATCTCCCATCCCCAAACAATCCCCATACCATCCCCATCCCCATCCCGATCCGATGTTCGTCTGCTCTAGATCATCAACAATGTGCTAAGCGAGCAAAACGGAACGTGGCCGGTCCTCAACCAAAGAAGTACAAATGCAGTCTGATGCCAAAAAGAGGGAAGGGGGGATCGCAGCGGAGACTTGCTGATTACCAACTGAAAATGTTATGACATTTACACTGCATTCACATTGCCACCAAAATAGGGAAAGCAAATAGGAGCGGTTCAATATAAAAAGTGTTAAAAAAAATATTTTTAAGTTAAATATCTTTAAATAAAAAGAAAACAAATTAAAATAAAAATACAAGAAAGAAGTGTTTGAAAAGACAAGAAAAAAGAAGCAAAAATGGTTACATTTAACCTTTTGGGTGCACTTGAAGAAAAACTTGACATGAAACGCTGATCTCCGAAAGAGAAAAATCGATATTGCATGGTAAAACGAATAAATACCAGAAATTAACCATGTACAAATCGATTTGATCCCGGCGTGTTTTGTTTGAGTGTAGTTTTACTATTTAATTAGGCATATGCTAGGCCCATTAATCTTTAAAAAAGCCCAAATTGGGACTTGTTTATTAAAAAAAAAAAAAATAAATAAAATAAGTAAAAAGTATTGATCAAATAATTATTAATAATAAATATTAAACATAATTTTTTCCCGCAAACTCAACTAAATAACCGGCCCTGCCCGCCTCTTCAAATTCCGCCCCTGGACCAAGACATTCGCTTTCAATTTTGGAAATACTCCAAGAATGTAAGCCATAATGAACGATGTCATTAGTCATAGAGAGACAATGCCGCACTGCGTGCCCCGGCCAGAAATAAATATTAATACTAGCATTTGTACTTAAATTATGGGCAGCCACAGCAGAACCACTCCATCTGAGCATCGAGGCAGCGAACGCACTTTAATAAATAATTGGCATTGTTGGGCGATGTAATCCGGGCACTTAAAGCTCTCTCTCTCCTCCATAGATGAACCTGCGAGTATGGGAGTCTGGGATCTGCGATCTGGGGATGGGGTCTAAGTTTCCATTTCCAGCCCAACTTGGCGGAGTGGAGGCCGCAAAGCGGAACGCCAACAATTAAGGCGAAGCTATGCAAGTTGGCCACAATTTCTTCATAATAAGGCCCAGTCAGTGACGAGGCGAACACGCCGGGCAATTAATAATGTGCTCATAATTTGTATGGTCGCGGCCAAAACGGGCTGTGCTCCATCCATATTTGGCCAAATCAAGCCAGCCCCAGGAGCGAGCTGAACCCGTGAACATTTTAATTAATCATGACCAAGGCAGGCCCGAAGAATCGATTCGGACTCTCGCTGCCAGATGGCACTAGTTCTCAAAGCGAGAGTTGAGGTGGGATTAGGCCGGCTGGATGTGATGTAAGTGCTCCCGTATTGGGGCAGGGAATGCTGCTCAGTGGTTAACTATGGGAATGATTAGTGGGTTGCAGCGGAAAGGGAAAAGTGAGTGTGCAATATTAGAAGAAAAAAACGCAAATTCTTCAGAACTTTGGTTATTTAATGTCCTAAAAATTTGTAGGGTTAAATAAACTTTTATAAAATGGGATATTGCTGCCCAATGTTTAACAATGGATGGATTTCATCGAAAAGGGAAAAAATACTGTGCAGTACACGAAATAATGGAGAATGCAATATCACGAATTCTTCAGAATTTAATAATAATTTAATGATATCATAACACGAATTCTTCAGCATTTTTCTTATTTTGAAAAACGCGAATTCTTTAGGAGCTATACAATTAGATAAATAATAAATGATGGGGTATGCAACAACGTGTTTTCTTGACCATTTTTTTTATTCTTAAAACTATAAGCCTAAAGAACTTTTTTAATAAGATAACAACGTGAGTTCTTCAGGATTTATCATGCGCCTAAATTTATTACCGACCCTTTTCGATTACTAGGCAAATTTTACAACATATTTCTTTAAAGGTTTTAACACTCACCTTGGCACCGTACGGCGATCCAGCGTCACTGCTGTGGGGGCGGAGGGCGTGGCCCGTCGCCGGTTCTTTGGCATGTTCGCTCTGCAGATGGCTCTCCAGGGCGGCCAGGCTGGGCAGCATCTTGAAGCAGAGATTGCACACATTGGGGGGCGGGTGCAGACCTGCGGATGGGGGCGGGATGCAGACAAAGAGTTACTCGCGAGGTCAGTGGGGGACACATAATTCCCGCCACGTGCTGCCGAATGTCGCTCGCCGCGATCGCAGATATAATAAATATCCATCCGCGTAAAAGGTTGTGACATAATGAGGCGACAGATCGCTGCTCGATCGTTTGCGCCTCTTCTCCGCGAATCGGGAATGCGCCAATGTTTATAAATAAATTGCGGAATTTGGCATAGGCATATCAGACATGGACTGGGATGGAGCTGGGTGGAGTGTTGCGACTGCTTTGTCTCGGTCCAATTGAGTTATGTCGCGGCCAGATCGCAGATTTATCGCACTTCCACTCCACTCGGGCTGCTTGGCAAACGCTGACGGGGTCAAAGGTGGCAGACAAAGAGGCTTTGTCATCTCGCATCCCCAAAAGGGAGCGGAGAAGAAAGTTAATGTCAAGTGTGGCGACGAACGGATACGCAGTTTGCCGGATTTATTTATATATCATTGGACTTGAATGTGTAAAGCGATTGAATGGAACGCCCCATGAAAAGTGAATCTATTTTAATTGCCAGTTTTTTACATATATTTTGGGTTCTTAAGAAAAGCAAGTAGATATAACTACATAGATTATAAAGAACATCGGATTATAAGTAAAAAGAAAGTATTAATTTCTCTTTATAAAAACTATTATAAAGATTTTTAAAAATGCATAGAAAATGTTTCGGACAGACAGAATACAATTGTTAGAAATATATTTATAGAACTTTTAATATTTTCTAATAGGAAAATTCTAGAAGTTATTAAAATATCCCCAAAATACATATGCCACTTCCTTGAAAATGATCTAAAGTAAAGATAGATATAAAGGTTATAAAAACTTACCCATAAATCCGAGTGGACCGAAGGGAAGCAGGGGAAATTTGGCGTGAGCATGACCTAGAGCGTGCATTTCTTCGCGGGCAGCTGCCATGAGCAGGAGATTCGGGGGCATGGGCATCCCGAGCATCCCAGGAAGACCTCCACTGCCCGATCCTCCGTTCGCCAGTCCGGTTCCGAAGATGCGACTGGTGGATGAAGAAGGTGAGGAAAGATCCATGGCGGGCATCTCCCCACTCTCGCTGCGTCCGCCGGCCAGATCGGGATTGGAATGAGATCTCTCGTCGGAGATGTCGTTAGGGATCCTACGCTCCTTCTCCCTCTCCTTCTCCCTCTCCCTGCTCTCCAGCGGATGGGGCGTGGCTGTGGCCGCACTGGAGTTGTCCCTGGAGTCGTCGGTGCTGTCCATGGTCATGAACTCATCGAAATCGCCGCCCTGCGACGACTCCGACCGCTGGCCCGAGTGATCCGAAATGGTGGTGGAGAAGTCCAGGGTGTCCGAGGTGCCCAGCGACTTGTTGGAGTTCTGATCCTCGATGCCCAGCCGCTCGGCCTCGCCAGGATTAGTAGGACCACCTGTGGCCTGCCCACCGCTGCCATCGTCCATGGTGTGGATGCGAATGTGCTGCTGCAGGATGATACCATTAGAGAACTTCTGGTGGCACACGGGACACTTGAACTGGCTCCTCATCGGCGGCTTGATCTTGTGTATGCTCATGTGGGCCTTCAGGTTGCCCTTCGTGGCGAAGGCCCTGCCGCAGATCTTGCAGCGAAAGGGCCGCTCGCCGGTGTGCGTCCGGATGTGCATCTGCAGGGAGCTGCGGCAGGACATGACCTTCTGGCAGAAGATGCACTGGTTCGGATCCGTCAGCTTGTTCTCGATGTTGTCGACCAGCTGCTGCAGCTTCGAGGTCTCCGACGTCTTGTCGATCTCGATCAGATCCTCCCACGACTTGTCTATGATGCGCTCCATTTGGGCCAGCGAGTACTCGGCCGGTTGGGATTCCCGGCTCGCCGATGAGCGTCTCACCAGCTTGGCTATATGCAAATGCTCGGCGAGATCCCGTTCCCGGTCCTCCTGCGGAGGACTCCCAGCACTGCTGGTCTGTCGCTTGCGAACAGAGCCATTTCTTCGAGAATTAGTGACTGCCGGTGGCTTGGAGACCTCCTTTTCGGGCTTCTCCGGTGGAGATGCCTGTTGAACCTCTGGCTTTACTTCCTTGGGGGTTTTGACACGCTCCACGGGGGAGTGGGACTTCTCCTTCTCTCGCGAAACTGGCTTGCTGAGATCTTCGGCCTGCTGAACGGGAATCGGTATAGGAATTGAAACCTCCTGCCTGCTGTTTAATTCCTCCTGTTCCTCCACTTGCACCTGCTGAACCTGCTCCTGACCACCTGGTGCCGCTGGAGGCACAAAAGGCAGGCGATACTGCTCGGCCTGCCCGGAATGCCCCACGTTGGGCGCCACTCCTGGTGGCAGCAGCATAGGTGGAAAGATCTGCGTGTGCCGCTGGTAGTGAACCTTCAGATTGCCCTTCGTGGTGAACTTGCTCCCGCAGACATTGCAAACGAACGGCCGTTCGCCGGTGTGGGATCTCAGGTGAATCTGGAGGGCCGAATAGCTGCCGAAGATCTTGCCACAGTACTTGCAGCGATGCTTGAAGATCTCGCCGCGACTCTGGGCCTCCTTGGAGGCGTACTCCGAGTACTCCTCCTGCATCTGGGCGGCATGGAGGCTCTGGGAGGCGGAGTCCAGGACCTCCTCGGTGCGGCGCTGCAGCATCTCCAGGCAGTTGGGCTCGTTGGGAGCCGGCGGGGGATCGTGGTTGGTGATGATGCTCGAGGCCAAGCTCGAGCTGATGTCGCACATCATGTTGTTGGTAGTGGGTTGGTAGCCCTCCGGCTCCGTCTTCCTCTCCTCAGTCGCCCTCTTGTCAGTCTTTGAACTCTCCTCCCGCCGCGGCTCCTCTTCCTCGTGATCCTGCTCCTGATCCTCCACTTCCTCCTCCTTGAGGCCATTGGTTGGCTCATCCTTGGGCTCCTCCTCCTCATCGCTCTGAGTTTGCCTGCCCAGGGCCGCAGCCTCGGCCCTTTTCAATTGACTCTGCAGGTGCTGGATGAGCTGCAGCTGCATCAGATGCTGCCGCTGCACATTGAAGATGGTGGACTGCACCATGGCCAGATCGGCGCCCTGATGGCTGCCCGCCATCGCCGAGGCGGCGAACTGGGCCACCGCCACTTTGGTATGTTGTAGGGCCTCCAGCGAGACGTGACCACTGCCCGGCAGCGATTCCCGGCCGCTGGACGAGATCAGCGAGAGGTCGAGGGCCTCGTTGCTGTTCTCCAGCTCCTCCTGATCCTGATCTTGATCCTCGGCCATTTCCGTTTCCGATTCAGGAAGTGCCTCCGCCTCCAGTTGCGGCTCGGTGCCATTGTTGTTGCTATCCGCATCCAGTTCCTTGGCCAGCAGGGCGTCCCTATTACCTATTTCCCGATCTCGATCTCGATCCCTGTCCCTGTCGCGGTCCCTCTCCCGCTCGCCGCTGCCGCTCCTGGTTCCGCCGCCGGTTCCACGGTAATTGATGCGGTTGCGAAATATTGAACACATTATCCTCTCGATCGGAAGCGCTCACCTCCTGATCCCAATTGCCGCTGAGGTCTGCTCATGGACTGCACCCTGGCAACGAAAGGGGAGAAGATATAGGGAAAATCTGGTGAGAAACGCACATTTTCCGATTTTCCAGCCAGTAACACTGATCAGCAAAGGCAAGTGTTTGATTCGAAATAACTTAAATATAAACAAGAAAGGAAGCTACCTTCGGCCAGCCGAAGCTTATATACCCTTGTAGATAAAAGAATACTCACTCGGTGCAGTTCCAGGGATTCCAGATTCAGCGTTTCGATTTATTTCAATTTTGTTTTTAAGTAGTCAAGAATCAAAACGCCTACTTCCTACAAAGTTACAATGAATTTTCTTATATTTGATTGGGAGCCTTAAGATATAGTGGTCCGATCCGGCTGGCTCCGACATATGTACTACCTGCAATAGAAAGAAGACCTTCGGGAAAGTTTCATCGCGATAGCTTTAAAACTGAGAGACTAGTTCGCATAGAAACGGACAGACGGACAGACGGACAGACGGACAGACGGACATGGCTAGATAGACTCGGCTATTGGTGCTGATCAAGAATATATATACTTTATGTGGTCGGAAACGTCTCCTTCACTGCGTTGCAAACATCTGACTGAAATTATAATACCCTCTACAAGGGTATAATAAAAAGCATTTATTAAAAAGTTTTCGTTTTAGAAATGGTTAAATTCAAGCTCTCCATATATCAAAAAACTATTTAATTTAAGGTACTTGAAAATCTAGCTGCGCAGTGTTATTTACCAAGATATTATATATGCATATGAACGGATCGTCACGTAAGGCGTGCCCGGTCAGACTTTATGATAAATTTTTGAATATATGAATAGCGGCGTGTCGCAATTTTAGACGTTGAATAAACGAACTGGGCGCATATGGTTAGACGCGTATAACTTAATGGCAACCCATGGATCTGGACTCGCGGCTGGATCGAGAATTTGGATATTACGGAGTTGGCGTGGACTCTTGACCGGGTTGGAGGAACCCCAAAGAGTTTTGCATGAGCCAATCGCGTAAGAGTGGGTAATTTATTGATTTATTACACGGAATCACTCAGCATAACTTTCAGCCTACCCAGATGATTGAGTTTGTGCCTCGAATCTGTCGGATTATTCCACCTAATTTACCTGACGCCGGCAGATATCGGCTATCGAGATATAAACATAGTCAAAAATAATCCGTTCGGCGGCGACGAAAAGAGGGTCACCACAGATTTATTAAGAGTTGCAATGAGAAAGACATATACCTAATATATCCCTCTGCACAGATTTATCGAGTCTTTCGTCTTCCGTAGTCTCGCATTGAAACCGGGAAATTCTAGAGATAGTCGGGTATTTGATCTCTGCCTGGTGTAGAATCGCCTTCCTGCGAGAAGAATAACGCAGCGAGCTCCCAAGAACCACCAGTTATCCGTAACCCCCATTTTGGAACGAACTTGACTATGAATTTGTACACATTCTATCCGACATTAGATACCATATGAATGGCCAACTTGGGGGAGTTTCCGACGAGGGTTGCCCAATACCAACTAAAGTGTGCGATGTACGCGCCGCATAAATTTTAGGAGCAAATCGATTTCAACATAATTCCACACCGTTTCTGAGTTACACTTTCAACAGGGCCACAAATTCTCGATTCCCCGAAGCCCCGAAAATAAGGCTTGCACACGGACGGCCATCCCATCCGCATTACGGCCGATTGCTTTATGATTATTTCCCGGCAATTAAGACAATTTATTGGCAAAGGTAAACACTCGCCAGATACATGTGCAGACGAAGATACAGATACAGATACAGATGCGTGGCCATATCGATTCGACGCACTCGAAATCATCGGCGCACACACATCGACTCCACTATTTCTATCAATGCCGATGGGCTCATCGGAAATCAATTTGTTTAATGCATAAGTGGGCTGGCATAGAGTTGGAGTGAAGTTGGATTCCAAGATTCCAAGTCGGGACGAAAGTGTTAACCGAAACTAAAGTGAGCCGGGCCACAACTTATTCCACTTGAGCTGATTTCTTGAGCGATTTACGCACAGCCAAAAACATAAAACTTCCGCAATTGCCACGAAGCTTTAAGAAGTTCCACAAGTCTGCGGTGGGATTCCATCAGAAAAGTTTCAAGCCTTCATTTCCTTTGTCACTCCAAGGGAAAAGCCCAGGGAAAATTACAGAAAACGTGGAATAGCCAAAGTTTCCTGCCAGCAGGTGGTCCCAGCCTCTCGAAAGGAACTCTAAATCTTTCGGATCTTTCAAGCGCCGTCCGGAATCAACACGGCGTCAATCATTAAGCCAAATCGTGAATTATGGTTGAGTATATATGCTGTTTAACCCCCAACCCCCCCTTCGAAACGTCTTCAGCGGATATTGATCAAAATTCATTGCAATTGGCTTGATTGATTGATGGCACAGTGCATATATCCGGGGCCAATTGGCTCTGTTGCTCTGTTTTAGGAGCCATCGAATGAATGAACCCGAATCCAACGTAAACAGACACTTTGGAAGTCTAGCCAAAGGGGCGAAAGGGAAACGGAATGCGAGATCTTGATTGAAGTCTGTTGTTTCAACCGTCGATCGAGCACGAACGACTGCCAGTCCATCGGCGGACATCACTTTATTGGATTGGAGATTTTCGGGGCAGCTATCGGTAATTCTGACAGTCTGACGGAAATTACAGAAAGTGTACATATTTCGAAAATATTATTATTTACCCATTTTAATCTTCTTATTTGTTAATATAGGGTAAAACGTTAAATAATGTCCATTTACTGGAAGTTCTTCTAAAATTCAATTATCTTTAAAGGTGGGATGGATTTGATTTTGATTCTTTTGATCATAAAGATATAAAATTAATTTTTGAATTATTTTTATTCTTTTTTTCTATTATAATACTCTTAAATAGTGTACATCTTATGGTTTTGGATCTCAGACATTGTCAAATTCAGCTGTTAAGTTAAAAAAAATATATTATTTAAAGAATGAAAACAGTAATCTCTTAAAACACAATTGATGAAGATAAAATACAATCTTCTAAAGTAGCCTTTATATCCTGAATATTTTGATTTTTATTTCACAAGTATTATAAATTTCAATATAAAAATGTGATAGATTTAATTTAAAAAAGAAGTACTCGTTCAAGTACTTCCCACAAAAAGCATGATTCATTTTCGAGGATTGTGTGATAAATAGCCACTCCAGTTTCACTTGACACATGCCAGGCTTATGGAAAAAACTCCCGCAAGGTGAACCTGAACCCCACGCTTCTTTTTCCTCCCACTGAATTGACTTTCCAAAAAAACCCAAGAAAATATGGGAAATAAAAACGGTTGAAGAAGCAGAGCGCAAAAAAAAGTGGGAAATTGTTTGAGGCAAATTTATGAGCTTCGCTTAAGCAAGGCAACTGCGTCTGGTTAACGCTCCGCCGATGAGCTCGGTACACAGCCGCATGTGTATATATATTTTTTGTATAGTGAGAAGTCGGGGGATTTAAGGCCACTTCAGCATTGACCATTTTGCATGAAAGCCTCTCTCGGTTCCCAAACGAAAATATGTCCGAGGCAAAGGGGCAGCCAATAACAACGGCGAACCCGGGGCAATTCAAGTTCCCAGCCACCAGCCACCAGTTACCAGTTCAGAATTCCCATTTCCAGGGGTCCCCTTACAAAATGTCTGCAAATTTATTAAGCTGAAAAAATTTTATGAGTTGAATTGGTATAATTTTCATATAATTTTTGAGAAAGAAGCGAAATGGAACGCTGCCAGACGGCGGCGACGGTCAATTCAACCAGTTGAGCCCAGCGGGGGGTTAAGCGCCACACACACCTCTACAAAATAAGTGTGTGTGTGTGCGTATCTGTGTTGGGGAATGCAAATGTCTGTGTTTAGGGAGGAGATGGAGGAGAAGAAGGTGGCCAGAAGAAGGGTCTGGAAATGAATGAATGGCCTGGGAAGAAGAGGGCTAACTCAGATACCCACTCACACAGATACCCCACCGCACACACAGATACTGCACTCACACACAGACAGACAGGGGAGTCCGATTAAAAAAGCCTTGTAGATGAATTTGTATTGTTTTGCATTTGCTTTTGGGGCGCTACTTTGTTTTTGCCTCCGCTTTCGTCGGCCGTTTCCTCTGCTTCCTTGCCTCTTTGCCATTTCGTTTTTGTTTCGTTTGAAAGGAATAATACGGGGTTGTTGGTGGAGTTGTTAAGCTGCCATTGCAAACAATTAAAATCATAAGAGACGCACATAAATTATTCATGGCTTAATCTAAAGTGGACAATCTATGCAAAGTACCAGGGCACACACACAAGCACAGATGTGTGCCTGTATATCTCGTTGGACACTTGTTTATCCCCCTGCCACGCCCCCTCCCCCTTCCCCGTCCCGCCGCCCACACATGAGCCATGGCCATTTTTGATATTTTGCCAATCCTCGTCTCGCTCTCGTTTCGTTTTAATTACTCATAAACGAAGGAAATAATTGCATTCAAGTAGCCACACTTTGTTTTTACCTGTGCTTTCCTTCCATTTTTGGCAATTAAAAAGGACAACGAAACGAAGGAGATTTGGTTTCCAAATTTTGAATTTCGGTCTTGTTTTTGCCGGAAATGTGAGTTAAACGAGGCAATTTTCTGGTTCTTTCATAATGTAATGGTACCTTGGGGATTTTTTTAGTGTTTCATTTTAATTTCAGCATTTCACAATTTTGTTAACCTAACATGTAGGGTTACTCATAAAAATAGCACTTTAGATGCTTTTAAAAGTTTTAAAATATAGAAACATTTTTTTTTTAGTTTTTTTTTGTCATTTATATTTTTAAAAAGTTTTTGTACTATAGATATTCATTTGAAATTTACTACTTTTATTTATTTTTTGGTGTCAATGTACTTTTATAACCAAAACTGAACAATAATTGTTATTAAATTGTATTGTTTTTATTACTTTATATTAAGCAATTCATATTAAATTGCTTTGAATTTATTTTACGTTTTTTGGTATCTATTCCACGTTATAATCAA